GCAATTTGATTTCACAGAGTATTTAAACGTTCTTAAATAATTTGCTGCCAGCCATTTTCAAAGCTGAGTTCCCCATATTCTGCGATCGGCTGGCAAATCAGTTCAGGGCGAACCCACTTCTGCCTGAAGACGGCTGGGATAGACTCCAGCACATCAGCGGCCCTCGCGAGGATAAGTGCTGATTCACCTCACGCGGCTCAAGTTAAACGCTAGCCCCTCCACACTGAGATGACTCAGCTGACAATCGGGCTGTGCAATTAAAGCTAAAAAATAACAATGACAGAAAAAAAGTGCAGCGTTGAAATGAGATGCACTGCTAATCAGTCACAGAAATGGCCACGCTGTTATATTTCATTTGTAATCCTCGCTTATCTGAAATGGCGTATGAGCGTAATACATTCAGCAGCTTGTTTATTTTTAACTTGATGGCCGCAGTGTTCCATCTTTTTCATTGTCGCTTGTTGGCTTGCTTGTCGCACGGCGAGAGCAATAATAACAGCAAAGGCCTCTGTATCAATCAGAGGTTTTTCTCTGTCTTTTGCTTTCCAGTGACCAACGCCATGACGGGCATGAGTCCTTCGCCGTCACTGTCAGCCCTTTCCAGCCGCGCTGGCTCCATCGCCAGCCTGCACGACCGCATCATGTTCAGCCCGGCCAATGAGGAGGCCATTGAGCGCCTGAAGGTGAGTGTGGAGGCAAAATTAAAAACATCCAATTCAAATTTGTCCTGAATTTTAAAAATTCAGCCCCCAAAGTCAGTTTCCCCTTAGAAACATGAAACTTGGCAGGCATACATATCATGAGTAGACCCACAAAAAAGTCTCTAAAAGCCACACCTGAAAAGACACAGGAACTCTCCCTGTTTGGGATGAAGTGGCCATTTTAAGGGTCCAATTAAGTTACCAAATTTTGAATCGCGAATGATAGGTGATGCTAATTTATAAAACAGTGGAATTTTGGTCAGTGTGTGGGCCGAGCATGGCAGCAGAGTTTGATGATTTGCCGTAAACCCTGATATTCTAATTAACTTGCAATTATGAAAATTTAGCCCCAAAACCTTTCCCTTTCCTTTGGAAGGCATGCCGACCATTAGGAGACCCACAAAAAAGTCTCAAGAAGCCAAAAGACGCAGAATGTCATCCCTTTTGCTTTGAAACGGTCATTTATCAAAGGCTACCTACCACAGGCAGAAATGAGGAAATGCTCCAACGCTACTCCTTTTTTTAATTTATTTTTATTTATTTTTTTATTTTTTAATAAACATCAGGAAACTGAGAAAATCATCGCAGAGCTCAACGAGACATGGGAAGAGAAACTTCGTCGGACTGAAGCCATTCGAATGGAACGGTGACCTACAACTTCCCGTCAATGACAAAGACTCACTCCGAGCATGGGATTGTCTTGTTACGTAACGATTAGCATGTTGCAGCTAACTCAAACAATGTCTTCATCCACAGAGAGGCCCTGCTGGCAGAAATGGG